ACACCAATAAAGTCCTCATCCTCATAAAAATGTATATTATTTTTCCTTTTTTAACCTTAGTCCCAATTGCCAATGCACATCATGATGAATGATACATAAATTTACTTAACTTTTATAATAAAATACCTATTTAATTTTTTGTCTTTTCTCACTCTATTGTCATATGAATGTCATGGACCATGGGTCTATCCAAGAATTACTCTTCATGCATATAATATATATATATATATAGAGAGAGAGAGAGAGAGTTAATTAATGAGAGAATTACTTTAAAGTCCTACTCAATACAATTAATTATTTATAAGTCTAAAAACAACTGAGTTTAAAAGAATGATAATATAATATTAATATCGATAAACCTTAGAGTAATTAATTATCCTGAGTCACAGTTGCATGTAATTAACTACTCAAAGGTTAGTCGCGTACGTATGGTTTATTCATGATTTAATTATTATATATTTGTGAAGGTGGCGTGACGTCGATGGATGATTTTCTGCGAGATTCTTCCCACGTGGTATGCGAACAAGCACGCGCATCTTAAAGAGACAGATTACTGTAAATACGATGATCAGATATTGACATTGTTCACTTCTTCTCTTTACTTTGCGGCTTCGGTTTCGACATTTTTTGCTTCGAGTTTAACAAAGAATAAAGGTTGAAAAGCCAGCATCATCGTCGGATCTACAAGCTTCTTCATCGGAGCTGTCATCAATGCAGCTGCAATGAACATCGCCATGTTGCTCATTGGTCGTATCCTCCTTGGCGTCGGCATTGGATTTGGTAACCAAGTATATTCATTCATTGTTCTCAGTACACAACTTGAAGATCATTTTTTAGTCAAAAGTGTTTAACCTATATATATATATATATATATATATGATTTTCAGAGATAGGTTAAAATTGAAAATTTTGAAAATTCTACCATCTCCATATTCCATGATACGAGAATTATAGGGAGAATTTCAATAAAGGATTCTTGACCATACTTAATTACATTTAAAGCCCTTAAATTTTTAAAATTTCACTACAATCTAAAGATACTTATTTGATATTAAATTTTTAAAAAAAATGACAAAATTGCCCCTCTTTTAAATTAATATCAAAATTTTCCTACTTCATTTGTTAATTGCCTAACTTTATTTATTTATTTACTTATGAAATGTTGTTAACTGTCCTACTTAACTTATTTATTTTCTTGAAATGAAATCAAGTAAAAGCCTCATAATGAATAAGTAAAGTAGGGCAACCAAAAATGCTTCATAAATAAATAAACGATATACAGTATAGAATCAATGAGTTATCTTAAAATGCTTTAAACACCTAAAATGGAAACAAGTGAAGTAGAAAAATTAATAACATTCGGTAAGTAAATGAACAAATGAAATAAGGTAATTAATAAGTGCAGTACGGAAGTCTTGATATTAATTTAAATAAAGGATATTTTTTTTATAAATTTAATATCAAATTAATACCCTTGAGCTGCAATGAAATTTCAAAAATTTAAGGGCTTTAAATATAATTAAGTATGGTCATGGGTCCTTTATTGAAATTCTCTGAGGATTATATCATATTTGTCTAGGTTAATTATTTGATTGCTGAACGAAAAATGCAGGCCGTTCCATTATATCTTTCTGAAATGTCTCCAGCGAAAGTACGAGGAGCAGTGAACCAACTATTTCAGTTAACAACTTGTTTGGGAATTCTTGTAGCAACCCTAGTGAACTACGGCACAAAGCAGCTACATCCATGGGGATGGAGATTGTCTTTGGGTTTAGCCACAGTTCCTGCAACATTAATGTTCATAGGAGGTGTGTTGTGCCCAGAGACACCAAACAGTCTCGTGGAACAAGGCAGGATAGAAGAAGCAAGAATTATATTAGAGAAGATAAGAGGGACCACAAATGTGGATGCAGAATTTGAAGATATGGTAGAAGCAAGTCGAGAAGCTCAATACATAAAGAACCCATTCCAAAACTTGTTGAGAAGGAATAGACCTCAGCTTGTGATTGGAGGGATAGCTATCCCACTTTTCAACAGCTAACAGGAAATAACTCGATCCTCTTCTATGCTCCTGTCATCTTCCAGAGTTTAGGGTTTGGGAATGGAGCTTCACTATACTCATCTGTTATTACTAGTGTTGCCCTCGTCGTGGCTCCTCTCATCTGAATGGCTATCGTCGACAAGTTTGGCAGAAGAGCCCTATTCTTGGAAGCTGGTGCTGAAATGTTAATCTACTTGGTAATCCAGCAACTCATATCCGTGTTATTAAATGGCCCTAGTTTTGATAAAAAAGTGCCATTACGTGCTTGTTTGGATAATATCTGGAATCAATTTTAGAAGTCAAAACCATGGTTTTGTGAAAATACATCAAAATACCCATGTAACATGTTAAAATTAATTATGAATCTAAAATCATGTTTTCTTAAAAATATTCAAACACCCATTATACATGCTAAAAATTATGAACCCAAAACTATGGTTTTCTTAAAAATATTTAAATACCTCTTATTATATCAAAATCAATTATGAAGAAAAAATATAATTTTTGGATTAATTTTTAAAAATGTATAATTGAAAAGAAGGTAATAATAGCTTATAAGATAACTGTGGTTTTAGATTTATAATTGATTTTGGCATGGATGGTGGTATTTGGATATTTTTAAGAAACCATAGTTTTGAGTTCATTATTGATTTTGATATATAGTAGCTTATATGATAACCATGATTTTTGATTTAAAATTGATTTTTAAGAAACCATAATTTTGAATTCATAATTGATTTTGACATATGTAATAGATATTTGATATTATTTTTGAAAACATGGTTTAGGAATATTTATAATTTATAATTGATTTTAACATATAACATGGGTGTTTAGATATATTTTCATGAAACTATTGTTTTGCCTTATTTTTAATTCTGGTTTTCAATTTTACTTTTCAATTCTGATTAAAATCAATCTTATTATCTAATATATACCACATAACATAATCAATAATATTCCAAATCAATCATATTAATCAATTTTCTTCCATAATCAACTACACTCAATTGAAATCCAAACACACCCAAATAAACACAAGTCACAAATTAAGTTGACGATACATACATATATACGTATATTTAGGTGGCAGTAGCAGTGGTGGTTTTAGCATTAGAGTTTGGTAAAGGAAAAGACCTATCAAGAGGGACAAGTATATTTCTGGTGATAGTGATATTCTTGTTTGTGTTGGCTTATGGAAGATCGTGGGGTCCACTAGGGTGGCTAGTTCCGAGCGAGCTTTTCCCATTAGAGATAAGGTCGTCGGCACAGAGTGTGGTGGTGTGTGTGAACATGATCATCACAGCACTGGTGGCACAGTTCTTTCTAGTGTCACTGTGCCATCTCAGATATGGAATATTCTTGCTGTTTGGAGGGTTCATTCTGATCATGAGCATGTTTGTATTCTTCTTCTTGCCGGAAACAATGAAAGTTCCGATCGAGGAGATTTATCTGCTGTTTCAAAACCACTGGTTCCGGAAAAGATTTACTGAAGATGATGATCCTTCCCAGTTCGTTGATAATACTGCTTAGTGCTTATCTCCGTACTATTCTATGAAGAATAATTCCTGTATATTCCAATGGAGTAGATTGATTGCGCGTGCAAGGCAGCCTAGCTAAGGTAAGATATGTGACTTTCTATTTATGTGAATTAATTACAATGGTATAATTTTACCAAAGATAGAATACAAGGGGAGTGAGGACACTATTCACTAGAGTCGGTAAATTGGGTGGGTCGAGCTTATTCAGATTGAATTTAAAGTACCCGACCTTCTTTAAAAAGGTTATATAGTTAAATTTGGCTCTAACTGTTTTCGCCAGGTTTGGGCTGGCTCATTAGACTTGGCCAAAATTATTGACTTTATATATATATATATATAGAGCCAGGAATTCCAACGATAGGACTTATTCGGGTCGAGCTCAATTCTAACCAAACTTATTTGAATTGGGTTAAAAGTATCCCACGCTCTTAAAAAAATTCATATAGTCAAGTTTGGCTCTAACTTTTTTCAGGCGGGTTTGGGTTGACCCGAATTACCAACTCTACTATTCACATATAACTGTATGTGTGGGATTTTATGTTATTTGTCGTGGGAATCATAAGATTCGTTTTAATTCCATGTTTTATTTTAAAAATGAGGGAAAAAAATAGATCGTTGAAAGCTAAAAACCTTAATTAATTCCTTCAACAAAAATGGCTTCTTTTTCGTGAGATTGTGTGATGAATCCTGAGAAAGGTAGCATGTAAGATTCTAGATTTAATGGCCGAAGGACTAAATGTGTTTAGCAAGAGGGAGATTGAGATAGAAATAGAGGTAGAGAAAGAGAGAGTCTCGAATACTACCGGAAGAAGATTAAGAGGGCAATCTAATAATAAGACAACAAAACTTGTTATTACCTCAATAAAATCTCATGAGACTTCAAATTAATTTTTTCATTTCATGGAATTTTTGAGTAATTAAAATGTTTTTGTAAGACCTAATAGTGATTTTTACTTAAAAAGTCTCCTGCATGCTTTTTACAAGTGCGATTTTGATTTCTTCCTTATCTTCTCTATTCATCTCTATAACAAACCCATGCATTCTCATCCTTAAAATGAATCAAAGCATAGGTACCAATATATATTGGTCAATTAATGTATTTTAATCTATGTGATGATATAATAAGTTCATATTTAATTTAATTATTTACTATTATATTTATGTATCTAAGTGGAGAAACGAAAACAACAACCACTGGTGGGAATATTGCTAGAAGTTATTATATTTAAATTATTAAAATGAATCTCTCCTTACTGAAGTTAGTGATCATACATATAAAAAGAGAGATCCATGGATACACGACAGAGGCCATGTATATAATAACATGGGTATTTTTAGTTAACCCTCTTGCCTGTCGTCATATTACATTACTGATGATAATATATTTAATTTGACTTTCACTTCACAAGCTTAAAATTTTAATTATAGTTCTTAGTACCCACTGCCGCTGCCCCCACCACCTCCACCATGGCCGGCGCCTCCACCATTGCCACCACTTCATCCTTTCTACCACCACCATAACTACCTCCTCCACTCCCTCCTTTACCACCTCCATTTCCTCCATGACCACCGCTACCACCGGCACCACCTCCATAGCTACCGCTGCCGCCGCCACTTCCTCCTTTTCCACCACTACCTCCTTTACTACCACCCCCACCTCCATAGCCACCACTGCCACCACCACTTCCTCCTTTTCCTCCACCGCCATGGCTACCTCCTCCACTTCCTCCTTGACCACCACTGCCACCTTTGCTACCACCCCCATAGCCACCTCCACCGCTACTACCTCTGCCTCCGCTTCCTCCTTTACCTCCACCGCTGCCACCACTTCCTCCTTTTCCTCCACCCCCATGGCTGCCACCACCTCCACTTCCTCCTTTGCCGCCACTGCCACCACCGCTACCCCCACTGCCTCCTTTGCTACCACCTCCATAGCCACCCCCACCACCACCTTTCCCCCCTCCTTTCTTACCTCCACCGGAGCTGCCTCCTCCATTACCTCCCTTACCACCACTTCCACTTCCTCCATGGCTGCCACCACCACTACCGCCACTTCCTCCTTTTCCACCGCCACCATAGCCACCACCTCCACTCCCTCCCTTTCCTCCACTAGCACTACCACTGCCGCCACCATAACTGTCTCCACCACTACCTCCACCTATTACATAAGTACTGCCGCCGCTGCCGCTTCCTTCTTTTATGCTACCACCATTGCCAATATTAGTTGAATTCGTCTGTTCAGCAATTATAGCTTTTGAATCTTCCGTAAGAGCTTCTGTAACGAAAAACAAAGCATAATTAAACATTGACCAAAGGAATGATCTAAAGAAAAATAATCCTAATTAATGGGATTAAATTTAATAAAAGTAACTAGTCTCTCACAACATGAAAAACAAAGGATGGAATTCTCGTCGGGAGAAGTGTTGACCGTGTCTCAAACATAATTGCCTTTTAATAGGAGATAATACTTGTGAGAAATAAAAAGAAAAAGAATCCTAACTTGTGTGTCCGTGCTTTGCTTCAGGGAATTATTCCCCATCAATTTATGTACGTTCAAGTTTTATGGTAGATTTATTTTAATTCTGATTTCGGTTCTCGTCAAGAAAATGAAAGTATTAGCGTTATAGGTTTTTTTTTTTTTTGCCCAATTATAAAGCATTATTGGTTTGGACGATCATATTTGCAAGTCCAACCTATGTGAAACTTGTGATTTCCCAACTTAAAATTCTACATAGAAAAGAAAAATTCAAGTGTTTTCTACGTCCATAAGATAGTAATTTATGTTAGCCTAAAAATTATGCATACACAAGGATATATATATATATATATAGATATATCCTATGTATATTTATCTACAGAGACATATACATCACACAAGTGCATATTTCAATATCAATATATATTTATATATCTATAATTTATACCAAGAAAAATCACTATTTAATAAGCCATAAAGAGTACCACTTTATATCAGATCCTTTGCAATGCATAATACTCACAATCTTCCTAGATATGGAACTTTCTAAATATTTAGTTATATATAAATAATTTTTTAATTTCTAAAACATTAAATAATTAAATCGCATCAAAAATTTACCTGGGTGCAGTGTTTAACGTTTTTGAATCATCTGCAAATTCTAATTCACATATCGCATTTCATTAGTAAAATAACCAACTAATTAGCTGCATGGGAGCTTTGTACACAAATTTGGCAGTTTAAAGACTTTAGCATTTAAATCCTATGAAGTTGATGTTTGTCATTTTAAGAAAGAAAGGGAATACTTCATATTTTATAAAAAATAATAAAATGATAAAAAATAATAATAATGAAAAACTTCACAGAAACTCACAGAAATGTATTGTCTCAGTTGTAATTGTTATTTTTTCTGATCTTTAAAAAATATGCATTGACAGTGGAAAAGAAATAATTAATATTGCACATAGTTCTCAAAAATTGTGTCATAAAGCATGCAGCAATTTAATTCGTCAAATGTATTGTAGCTAGTAATTAAAACTATTATAATCAAATCAAAATAATGGTAGAAATAAAAATTAAACTTATTAATGTTGGTTTAGGATTATTCAAACCTTGTAGCTCACCATTAGTTGATGGCTCATGCCGTGCAGCTACCAAATTAGAAATGAGAACCACACAAACAAGGAAGCAAGAGAGAATGAAGGCCTTGAAGATCATTGTGATCATAGACTTCAATTTTTCTACTTGGACCTGCTCTATAAGATCAAATATATAGAAATGTAAAGCAAGAACCAACCAAACAAACAAATAAATATTGCTGCATGTTATGAAAATGGGTGCAAATTACAAGGCTTTCGCACTGTAGGGTCGTTTTCTCCTAATTCGACACGCACACTATTGAAGCTTTGAAGAAAGACGTGTGTGTGCTGATTCGTGCTAAGTAAGAGACTGAAGTAAGGACATCTGGCACGTAAATTTGGATAATATGCAAATATGTTTTAGTTTTGTGTTAAATGGGAAGCCTACTTAAGTCAATTTAAGTAGATTCACTCAGATCCTGAATTCATGAAGTCTTCGTTTAAACAATATTTGCACTTCTAATTACTCTCTTTATTGGAAAATTATAGAACACTTTTTAAGAAGATTTAACGTTCTAAAATATAAGATATTTTGAGAATGGTAAAGTTTCCTTAAATAAGCTTATTTTAATAGTGTCCTTTCTCCCTCTATTTAATTTCTATCCTTCTCTTTTTCCAATAATGTATTAGAAAAAGATGTTTTTGGAAGCTTTATTTTTTTGTTTTTAAAAAATAAACTTGTTTAGTGTATTTAACAAGATTTATTAATATGTGAGATTTTATGTAAAAATATTTTATAATTTGGGACGGAGAGAGTACCTCATTAGAATTAAAGACATATGGTTAAGTTATTAAATTTTCCTAAAAATATAATAAATTTCCAATTTTACACCTATTTAAATAATTTTTTTCTTAATTACATCCTCTTTGATAGTTAATGAGTTTAAATAAGGGCAAATTAGAAAAATGCAATTAATAACCCATCAAGTGTCTTATATTAAATATTAAAGAATCTTTCTGGAAAACGTCCAATGATAAGGATATGATGGAGTATTTCATCCTAAATAATCTACCATTACCGTACAAACATAGAATAAAAAGGTATTGTTTGACTTGATAGATTTGAATTTAAAATCTTAGATTTAAAGTCTCATATTTAAAATTTATATATTCAAAAATCTTTATTTGGATAATGTAAAAAAAAAATTAGAGGTTGAATAGATATTAGCTGAGATTCAAATTAAAAATGAAAGATTGAAAGTGATAAATTTAGCTGTATTCTTCAGTCGGTGAGAGTCCAAAAAAGAGATCAGAGTAGGACTCCGAGAGTAGCAGATAACCAATAGAGAAAATATGCGAAAAAAGAAAAAAGGAAAAGGAGAAGATTGAAAATTATGAAATTTCAAATAACTAAGACTGTAAAAAGATCAATTTGAAATGACAAAAATTATATTAAAATATGAATTTAAATCATATCCAAATCTATAGAATTATATAATATATATATATATATATATATTATATCTATCTAAATAAGTACAACATTATGAAATATCTGTTTAAATGAAGAAGTTATAAGGTTCCCAGTCAACATATTACCTAAACTGATAGCTGGAAGTTATTTCAGATTTTCATGTTAGTGCCTAGTTGCCCTTATTTCAAATTCTTACTCGGCTCAAATCTATACACGTCTTTTTTCAATGCTTCAATGGAGTGCGTGTCAAAGGAGGCGACAAAGGACCCTATCCTTGGATAAAACCTAGTAACCTCCATTCATTTTTACTACAACAATAAGAAGCAGCTTTATCCTACTAACTAGACTTAGCTATATGGATTATACGATGTTATTATACTCTATTATTTATCAAGCATTTAGAAATATTGTTAATTAAGAGGTTTTGATTAACAACTTCTATAAGTATTCTCTTTGGCATTTCTCTATCTCTCTTAGCAAGGCTCAATGTGATATGTTTCATATAACATCCTAGATTTTAATCTCCAATTAATAACTTAATTATAAGAAATTTTGAGGTATTTAAGGAAATTTTGAGATATAGGAATGGAATTTCCAGACATGTGAAAGTATTTATTGAGAATAAAAAAATTTAAAAATAGATAAAATAAGTTTAAAATTTTTTACCCAAAATAAGATAAATATTAATTATTTAATTTTGAGCAAAATAATAACAATAAAAAGATAATAAAATTAATATACGTGTATATGTGCAGGAGTGGATAGGTGTATATAAATATATTTATAATTTATAATTATAAAATAATATTATAATATATTTTCAGGGTTTGAACCCTCATCTGAGAAATGTTGGTAGTAGTTCTTGCCAATTTTACCAAGCGCCCATTGATATATTATAATATATTTATATATACAAGAAGGAGAAAGAGAAAAAGGCATGCGTGTGGGCCCAAAGCCCACTCCACCCATTTATTTACCTAAACCCACACACGTTCATGCTTCATTCCAGCTGCGGCAGCAGCGAGTGAGAGAAAAAGAGGGGAGCTAACGCGAGTCAAAGAGAGTTTAGATTTAGAAATATATTCAGATATCTCGATTTGAATTTTTCTACTATCAGGTAAGTGTTTTAAATTTTTGGTTTTGTCTACTTATCTTCCTGGTTTTTAATTTCTTGAAGGTGAAAAATATAGGGTCCAATCTATTAGAGTTTTTTTTTTTTAATGTCTTTTTCCTGATAGAAAATTTCTCTAATAATATGTCTAGATCTATTTCAATATTTTAGGAAGTTTAATCTATATATATGAATTGTTTACCAGGTTGCAGAATTCTTAGAGTAAGAATTGAGGGAAAAAGTAAAGATTTGGGATGAACATAGGCTTTATATGAATATTTTTAAGTTGTACAAAATTCATTAGAAATATAAATATGGACAAACTAGCTGATATAAAACGGTATGGATTTGAAGAAGATTTTGGGTTCTCCAAATGTGGCTTTAAGGCCCTAAAATAACTTTAGGATAATCTTAGAGTAGCTTTAAGGTACTTTTTCGATAGTTTTAAATTTTAATACTTTTTGTATGTGTGTGACTTCTATAGACTCTTTTTGAGAGCTCTTTATTGTTTGGGCTGATGCGTGACTATTTGTAAGCTAAAGAAAAACAAGTAATTCAGAATTTTTTCATATGCCTACAAGCTTTGTGTTTGATAATGAATGTGAATAATCATAAATTTAATTGTGAAAAATTTATATATTATTTGAATCCTGTCATGCATACTTATAGCTTAGTTATATATTATTGTTAGCATTTCTTTTCAAGCATGCTTGTGAATGTAGATTAACAATGTATATTTTATGAAAATTGTATATTACTGAAGAGTAGTTTGTTTTTTTCAAGCATGTTTATAAATTGAGTTGATTGAATGAGATATTTTTATTTCTTTTCAAGCATCCTTGTATGCAATATAAATTTTGTATATGTTCAGTATGTATGAGATGATGATGTTGATGTATAAATGAATTAGTGACCATATGATTTACCTCCATTGTGCACATAGTAGTTGGCCTCTTTTAAAGCCTCATTCCTCAATATTTACTTGACTATGTTTGTAAAGGGGGAACATAAGACAATGACACCTCTTGTTGGGTTCTTCAAGGAGGGAGCCATAGTCTGTGCTTGAGCTCTATACCTTTAGCTAGGTACATCTTCAACTCCGAAGAAGCTTGGTCAGTCCAACATCTTGAGCTTTAGATGGATTGTCTTTAAGCCTATGGTTCTAGTCAGTAGAATAAGAATGGATGGAATAATAATAAAGATTATTGGTATTGCATATTAGCATGTTATAAGCTATATCTTATGAAATTCTTATGTCATTACTGAATAATTCTCATGAACACTTGTATAATTGTTGTATAATTGTGTGGTTGTAGTTTGTGTATGTATGATTAAATTTTAGGTTACTGAAATGTTAGTTTTCACCCCTTCTTTAACATTTTTAGGTACGCTTAGCAGAGCAAAAAAGGGAAACATCTGAAAGCTTAAGGCTTAGCTTGAGTAAGCCTTGAGTCTCGTTTCAGTTTATAAAATAATCAATTGCTAGTTTAGGACTTTCATTTGAGATTAATTTGTTACTTTGTTTATTATTTATTGATGATTTATTTATATGGAGTAAATATTTTATAATAATACTTTTGCATTGAGACTTTTATAGAGATAGATTTTTGAGCATGATGTTCACAAGTATATATATATTTTATGAAAAAAAAATATTAACCTAAAACTTGTATGCATTAGTTGAATCTTCCTATAACAATGGTAGCTCTTTGAAATTTGGATTAACTTTTTCTAACATGGTTACCTTGTAGAAGAATAAAACAAAAATAAAATAAAATTGAGATTTGGTTTTTAACTTTTATACTATGGTAATTATTTTTATTGTTTTAAATATTTTTGCTATCATGGTATTTGATTAAGCTTTTAGTTAGTAAAGTTAGGGTATTACATTCCACTCTCCTCACATTGCCTCTCTTAGTTTTCTTTGTATATGTTCAAACCATCGTAAATGATTTTCTATCATTTTTGTTTCAATAGATGCTATGTTTATTTTTTTTCATACCTGCTTTTTTTTTAACATGAAGCAATATTTATTTATTTATGGGTTAATGTGTAAAAATATACTCACAATTTTTCATCATCAGCTACCAGCAGCTATCCTTAAATCAATAACGATGTATCAATACTCATGAACTTTTTTTAGTAAGGGATTTCTTCCCCGTCCAATTAAATTTGACTGAAGTCCATTAAAGTACCAAAACATTTAAAAAAAAAAGACTCATATCATATTATTTTGCTAATCAATTTCAATTTTTATCTTTAAAAATTAAGATTGTCAATTTTTCATTTAATTTTAATTTTAATTTATTAATAATAATAAAAAAAGAATTCGCGGCCCGAATAAACCGTAATTAAGAGAAACTTTTTAAACCAACCCCAAATTTTTGATTTTGTGGATTTCTTTAGGTTGGCGCATTAAATTGGGCCAAATCACTGGCTCTACCCTTCCCCAATCTATTAAATATTAACATAGACCGCGTTAAACTTTTATCCCTCTTTCGTAGCCTCTAAAATAAAGGTCTGTATGACCAAAAACGAATATCAAGGCCAAAATTTTCTTTTTCTTCCTCGGTTAAATGAAGTCCATTTTTAATTATTGTTGCATAATTACAGCAAATAAAAATCGAAAAATTATTTATGGGATTTTGCTTCAATTTTTTTCAGAATAAATTTTTTTGTTAAATATTATTCCCAAAGATATCCAAGAACAATTAACAATTTTTCATTTAAAATACCCATATACAAGGGCCAAAGCATGTTATTACCTTTTGAATAAAAAAATATTAAATCATCAAGAAAAATAAATTTGAAGTAAGCTTAATTAATAAGATAAGAAACATTAGTTCTGTGTGAAACAAATTGATATATCTCATTTTAACATTGATACTGCACAACTAATATAGTATTGAAGTATATAACATGTGTACTACTTATATATAAAAATAGTTAAATCATTGAATCTAACTAATTTTATATAAACACTATAATTCATCATCATCATGAACATAATGAACATTGCTTCCTAATTGCACAGGAAAAAAATCTAGTTTATTATAAAAATAAAAATAAAATTTTATTTAATACCCCAAGCCGTCCTAACTCAATATCATTCAGGAAGGCTGCAGGATGAAGATTTCAGGTCTAAAGGAAAATTATTAGTGAAACCTAATGTGTACATTTTTCTTTCCCTTTTTTTTTTTATAAATATCCATCCTCATATCTTTTTTCCATTTTTTTTAAGAAAAAATCAAACATTAAGATTTTGTAATTAAATAATTTTGATAGGAAGCCAAATTGATCCCATAGAGAGAGGATAATTGTCGTTGCAAAGTGTTCCCCGTTTCCTCCATCTTAAATATTGGGATAGCATGTAAATGTTAACACTGGTATGGGTAATAGTTTTAATGAAAAATTGTAATTAAAACTAATATATTGACACTATTAGAACACATTGTGTCATGAATATGCTTGTTTTAAATTATTCTATCTCAAATGCTGTTGCAATTATTTGGACAAATTATTAGACAGATTTGTGACACCTTTGCAATGTAATTTATTCTGCCGCAAAATTTCCGTTGTAAATCTTCTATTTTTTAATAGTGGGATGAATAACAAAAAAATCAATAATGATTACTTAAATTATAGGGAAGGTTTCGAAGCCTAAAGCTTCCTTCTTAATGACCTAAAGCCACACCTTGATTCGATCTAATTCCTTGTATTTCTAGCCACCTCCGTATATAAGACGAAAATGGCTTGGTTGGAATTTGTGTGATTCATAATTGAATCCTTGCCGTTCTTTGTCAAAACCTGAACTATAGAAAAAGCTCCTAAAAATATCTAAAAGAAACCTAAAAAATATCAAAATTCCAATACCACTCTTTGTTATGGGCATGAAATATAAAAATCGATTTATAATTTGAATTTAAATTATTTTTATAATGTTAATGAATAAAAATGCACCCATAATAATTAAAAATATTTATAATAAGATAAATATTATATATTTTTCAATAATGGCTATTTTTTTATATGATTACATTACAAAACATTAATACTATAGCCTATGTACAATAACAACAACAACAAGTCTTACCTCATTAGATAGGGTTAGCTCTATAAATTGCATGACATTATTCAGCCTGTTTGGATAGCATAATAATCAATTATTTGAGCCAAAATAATCGATTTTGCAAAAATTATCCAAAGAGAAAATTTATCTAAAAATTGATCATTGAGCCAAAATCACATTTTAAAATAAGCTATGGGAGGTTACTTATAGATTCAATTTTACTATTAAATAATATATTTTACTTCTTAAATAAAGTTTAAAAAATTTAACAATATTAAATACAACTTTATTAATAACTTAATTTTAAAAAGTAATGTCCTTTATGATAATTTGTACAGCTAAAATTAATTTTAATATTCAAACAGATTACATTATAACATAAGTAATTATAATTAAAATCAATCATATTAATCAATTATCAACCAAATTTTTAAGAATATAATATTGTATACTAAGATATTTTATTTAACAACTTCCAACAAGCTCTTAAGAATATTTTTCATAATATTACTATATAAGGATATATAAAAGAAAATGCAATCATCAATGGGGCTTTAGCAAATTTAGCCAACATTATATGATTAAATAAAACTAATAACTCAACTTTTTTTAAATTAAGATGATGGTCGTTTTCTAATTTACCTTTGATATAACAGATAAAACTATCCTTAAACATCACAATACCCTGATTCTCCCTTTTCACACTAGTTTCGCTTTCACCCACCTGAAGATGTAGAGACGACAGTGCACTCTCAGTCACGACAGTGAAGAAACCAACAATAGACAATGAAACAGCTCACATTGATAGATAAATGAAGTTAGAAATTTAGCCAGGAGATCACAAGAACGTGAGGTGAGGCAGATTGAAAGTTATAAATTCAGGTTGAAAAATCATGAATGTGAGGTGAGGAAGTTCAAAATTGCAGTTTCTACACAAAGCCACATTAAAGCTGCAGATTCAAGGTGAGAATGTTCGGTCAAACTTTGTTACAAGAGGCAGAGCTCAAGCGAGGGTTTTCTGAGATTTTGTTTGATCTGTTTTTGAAAAAATGATTATGTATTTTTCATATTACTGATCTGCGATACTACATCATTGATATAAGACTGTACATCAATTTTAAACAAGTTTATGTATGATTATCTGATTATGTTGATCTACGATAGTATATCAGTAATATATTATTATATATCACTCATATATAAGCCATATCAGTGAAAACTTATCAATTTATTTATCATTGATATACAATCATATATTAATGATATAGTATCACAAATTAGTAATGGAGTTTCTTTTTCAATATTAAATGTTCTCTTCGTAATATCTGGTAAAAATAGAGAGGGAGAGAGAGAAGAAGCTCTGCGATAAAGATGATGATCTAGGCAAATTAGATTAAAAATTCTGATGAAGAAATGCACTATACAAAAGATAAAAATGATGATCCAAGAAAATCGGATCCAAAAATTTGATAAAAAAAATATTCAAAGATGATAAATTAGAGAGGGAGCAAGCACAATATGATTTTTGATAATAAAAATAAAAGATTCAATCAGTTAAAGATTATTTAAATCAAATATATTCTGTTTTAATAATAAATATATTTTGAGGATAAAAAAAGAAAACATATTTAATTGATTTTATAAATGGGCCATATTTTAAAATATTTAAAAACCTCATTCATAATTTACGGAAGTTGTATTTTCTGAGGCCATTAAACTAATTTTCTCATCATCAATAAGGCAACATTTTAGTTAAGTAAAGGGAGGAACCACCCTCCCCCCAAAAATATGGCATCTTCCACTTTGATTGCTAAAAGCAATCCCTCAGATACTTTATTATACAAATATCAGAAATACTTAACATAGATGACATACACGCTGCACTTTAACATGCAGCATGAAACTCCATTCCTAGAGAAGAGAGTGAAAACAAAGCACACACCTAATAAATGCTCCCAACAACAAATATAGAACAGTTAAAGGTTACTTTTATCCTTAAACTTTTCCCTTAAGATGTGCAGGTATCCTAAACATGGCATTATGTCATTTCTGTCCTTGAATGTGTGAAATGTGTTACCTTATCATCCCACAATTAACATGCCATAACGTTTGTTTCCAGTAGAGTAGGTCGCAACATTTTTTATATGTTTTTAATAATAAAGTATTGGGAGAGTTACTTTTGTTCTTGAGTTTAGGGTACCTATAAAACTTTAAGAAAAAAGTTCAAGGGTAAAAATGATCCTTAATTCAATATTTTATTATTAAAAGCAGGATAATGGGCGGTGCATTTCGAACATTCAGGGACAAAAATAACCTCAAATCAAGTTTAGGGTACTTGCAAACTCCAAAAGTAAAGTTTAGAGACAAAAATAACACTTAACCCAAGGTAAAAACACAATTTACTAGAACAACAAAAGTAGCACATATAATTCTAATACGCAGGTAAGGTGTCTTAGTTATGAGCTTCAGTCGTGGGTTGTGCACCCATAGCTTCACCAGCATAAGAACAACATCTTCTACAGCCTCCTCCATGCCTTCCTCCACAACATCCATAGCGGCAATATCCTCCTCGATATCCACCGCCATAGCCACCATGGCTTGGGTAACCACCGCCGTATCCACCACGTCCAAGATAACCACCGCCATAGCCACCACGACCTGGGTAACCTCCATAACCATATTTGGCATCATCCACCTCTCCATGATTTTGTCTCCATTACCTCAACTTCAAATAAACAAAATGAAGATACGGTAGAATGGTTAGTGATAATATAAAAGTTCATTCATGATAGTAAAACATGTTAAAATTTTTAAAGAAATTATCCATAATTTCTATGTGACTAAAACTTGATAAAAATATAATCCCAACATTACTTTTATTTCTTCAATAAAAACTGCACCAAATTCGGCCAAAAAAGGGGGAAATAAAACTGTACACAACTTGATCAACGTTCCTTTTTACGAAAGATATATAATTTTTAGTAGGTTTTTTAATGCGATGCAGTGAAGATTGATTGAGATCCCTCAAAGCTCTGCTGTTGTAACAGTGTGTATGTATATAGTATAAAATAAGAAAAAGGGCGAATGACATTAAAAGACTAAAATATTAAATCAAATTCAAATATCAAGCAGAAGATTCAGAAATTTAAATTAAGAACCAAAGATTTGCAACCATCTAAACAAGAATTTGCAAGTAAAATTTGATAATTTGTAAAGGAAAAACTTCTCAAACATATATAACAACATATCTAGTAATTTTCTACTATTTTATCCTTGCTTGCAATCCTTAAAACACGAATTTGGACACGAATTTAACAAATTCGTCAATTTAATTATAACGAAAATGATTTCCAAGTAATGATATATTTAACAATTTTTTTCTTTTGCAAATTAACGAATCTTGCTTGCAAAACTTTATTTTGAGGATTGCAGATTAACAAATCTCAAAAGTATAGGACCTGTTTCAATAAGTACTATAACAATTTAGTTAGGGCAATTGTTTTCTTTGCAACTGTTTTAAAAGTGTTGCCTAATACTGGCATACTTAAGCAACAGTTTTCATATGTTGCTATTGATCACTACTTTATACAATAAATATTTAACAACATTTGAAAACTGTTACCGAAATTAAAACAGAACATACAACAGTTTTCAAGTGTAGAGAATCAAAACTCAATAGGGCTCGCACTCACCATGATTAGAGGAAGACTGATTAGGCAAGTCCCTAGCTGTTACAACCGAGCAAATAATGAGTGAAAGAGCAAAGAGAGCAAGAAGAAGAAAGGCCAACTTGGAAGCCATATTTGATGAGTTTTGTTTGCAAAGAAAGGATATAAGATGGTTGATAATAGAACTTTGCCGACGTACTCTGTATGCATATGCTATCAGTCCCTCGCACAAAGGACCTTGCATGGTTGGGAGTTAGGAAGTAGGTTCCATTAATTATAGACATCTAAGCTGTTGGAGATTGTTGGAACTGGCAAGTAGATTTAAAGTTTGAGTCGTGCCAATAATACTATCCTTAAGAGCTATTCTGCCACACTAGATTGTTCGCACAGCAGCTCTCTAAGATTAAACAGACTCATCCTGCAAATTAAGCAGGGCCACAAAACAACAAAGACAAATAAAATATACTCAAACAATACAATACATAAGAGGAGCTTGAGAACCCTAGAGCTTGGCCCCAGGTATACCGCACTCCCTAAGCTATACAAAGTCGTAACCAGAAGGTCCCCTTAATAAACCATCAAACATTAGTTTTAAAATAATTAAAACAAATTAAGCCTCATAACTTGGGTGGTTTTAAACATTAAAGATTAAACCCTTTAAATGTCATTAAATCAAATAAAAGGTGATTAAAATCCTTCAAAGCTATAACTCCAAGTTGATAAAAATAAGATTTAAGTAGGGGCTATAGAAATCAATATTATTAAAATTATAATAATTCCTTTTAAAATACCCATGAATATTTTATAATATCCAACATAAGCTACATTATACGATTCCAACTTGATGTCTGACTTTATTTTGTTTTATCCATGTTATTTTGTCTTATCCAAGTTGGCAAATAACTTGATGTCTGACTTTATTTTGTCAACTTGGAGTAGCTCATAAGAACATTAATGCCAACAGATAAGTAGGTTTCAATAATTATGGACCTTATCTAAGCTACGCTGTTCCATCTCAACTTGATCTTCATCTGACTTCTATTTTTTCTTATCCTAGCTGACATTGTTGAAAATATCAACAGTCCGTGAAATTCAAACAGAATTAATAATGTTTGTATCAAATGACTTAGTTGACTAATTTATGAAAAAGGTACTTTTTGGTATATACTCTCTCAAAGGGCGATCAATAGAAACAATGAAGACCTAGAGTAAATCTCTCTTAGAGAAGATGTTACTGTGAAGTCCTAAAACAGTATTTAAGAGCTTTTCAATGCATGATTCAATTAAACTGAATTTAAAGTACTCCCTCCATTTTTATTTATAGAAAAAAAACTGTATCACATACACAATTTTAAAAAAAAATCAGTTAACTATATTAATTGTATTTGAACCTAAAAAAATTAGACTAAATACCTTTCATTATTATTTCTTATGACTGCAAATAATGAAATTATGAGCAATAATTGAAGACATTTGTAGTAAATGCCTATTGAAAAAAATATAATTTTTAGTTTTTCTTATAAATAAAAACAGAGGGAGTTGTTGTGAGCACTTAATTCATTACTAACCATCTTAAATGATGTTATATTTATAATTTCTGAAAAATTTTAGCTATTAGAAGTGAGATTATAGCAGTCAGAAATTTTAGAACACACGAGTCATTTAGTGAGGGGAAAAAACACGTTATTGCCAAAGTAAAAAATGTGTCGAAATCGTGGTTAACGTGCTATCCAGTACATAGATAGTGCGCTAAGTACGTAGTAAAATTCAGGTAAAGGTAGAGAAGAAATAAATATTTGAAGTTTCGAAATTGAAAATTATTTGGATTTGAATTGAAATTAATCAGATGGTAATTTTACTGAATGAACTAAAAAAATTTAGTTAACTTGCATTTATAAAAGAATGTAATATTGTTTCATTATAAATATTTTAACAATTTTGAAAATGAGATAATAAAAATATTTCAGCTGTTAAGAAAAAGGGTAAAATCTTCGTTCAGTTATTTAAATCTAATATAATTACGTTAAAAAAAATAAAATTTTAGTATATTTTAGTCAATCCCTAAGTTAAGTCTATCTCGCCAACGAATCATGTACGTACCGAGTTTCATCAAGACTGTTTCTGAATATGCAGGTTATTGGCTTGCATGTGGCAGAACCAAAATAAATATGTTTGAATGGGGGCATTTAATGTCTGTTAAGATATGTATGAATGAATTCAATATGAACCACTTGCAAGTTCGGTTGACAAAACTAATTGTCAAGCTCAGATATGTTAAATTCTTGCATTGACCCGGCTGTTGCACTACGTCATCCATATTTTATATAATGAAAACATGTTATGTTGCACCAATTAATTAAATAAAATGTAATATGTCATTACTTATATTGATTTTGTTTTTGGATTAGATCTAGTGCTTTCTTGATTTTTTATATTCTTTCCCTATCATTATCAACTCCAGAAACAATTTATATTTATAATGAGATGCATGGCATGTTTTTATTGGATAATAAAATATAGATGATGTGGTGCACTGAGTGTAGACAAGAATTTGTCCTCAAATATTACAAGGCAATGGTCTCAATACAATCATCATTTGAAGTGTGATATTTCTAGCTAGACACTTTTCTAATTGTAGCATGATGAATTGAAACAATTCTTAATGAATTGTTACTGACTGCATTAGGATAATTTCTTTTTTGGAAAATCATATCTAAAGATATGATAAAAAAAAATTATTCATAAACAAAGACTAATACATAATGAAATATTGTTAAAATAAGAACATGAACCTATTTTTTCAAATGGAATTTGTTATTAGTTCTTATCTGCAAATAAGTTTTTTTGCCAGCTCCTTAGATATAATTCTCCAATTTTTTTTTCCTTTTTACCAAAAATGCCATCTGGTGGGTGGAACAATTTGACAATAGAAATGAATATTGATTCCTGAGAGGATCGCGACTTCCTCTAGAAAAAATAAATAAATAAATAAATCAAGGAGACGTTTTTAGCCAATTAGATTACTTTTGATATTTTATATTTTAATTATTATTAAGTGGGAAGTCAAATCCAAAAGACTTAACTTTCCAAATTTTACTTTAATTAACTACGTTGAGCTACACTCCTTCCGTTTTTTCTCCCGATCCGTGACCCCAAAAAAATTCTACCCCCACCCACCCCATTCTTTTTACAAAGCGAAAATAGCATTCAAGTTCTAACAAAGGAAGTTTATTATTAAGAAGTTCAATAAATTTTACAAAATACTTTCAAGTTTTAAATCCTACGTGTTAACACCTTAACTAAAGGCATTAACAACTGAGTAAATACCATTTACAACTTGTAAAGAAAAACAATAACTTATAATAGTAAGTTGTAAAAGGTCGTTGATTAGTTGTCAATACCCTCAGTCAAGTTGTCACTGCATAGGATTTGAGAATTGAGAGTATTTTGTAAAATTTATGGAACCTCTCAATAATAAACTTCCTTTTGTGAGACCTGAATGTAATTTTCTCTTTAAAAAACTATGCATAATGATATGATATTATTATTATTATTATTATTATTATTATTATTATTATGGTACATTTTTATTTCTAAACTTTTTTTACCATGCAGGTGGTTTATCTTAAAGTCAAAGGCAAGACAATGTTACCCTTTACTATATTACGGATATGTTTTGAAGAAGTATTGATGAGCATCAATATCGCATATGACATAAATACGGATACGAGAGACAATTTGAAGTATCAGTGCTTCATAGCTGCTCATAGATAATATTTATACTGGCACAATTACCAATAGACATAGTCAAATTAACACTTATAAATACGATTCTAAACAGAAATTTTTTAACTTTAACTCATTCAAACTAGCTACATTGACTTTCCTCTGCTAGGACATGATATGGTTTGAAACCTTGGGGAATGAACTTGATTTTCCAAGCCTCTAAGGTATGTGCTATATAGGCTTTTATTAAGCCATTAGATCATAGATTTTCCACTCTAAGAGTGTTTGGGAAGGGTTTATGCAAATGAACTCACGCCTAACTAATTTCTTCTGATTAAAATATGAATTGAGGCATGATTTATGTTTAGTATATTATTATATTAAGTGCCAATTGAGGAAACGATAGATTGATTAGGTACATCTCAAAATTGTAGCTTTTAGAACATTAGTGTTTGGTGATTTTTTTAAAGGTAAATATTATATTGGACAAATTAAATGTTAATATTGGTTAATTTAGACTAATGTAGTGGAAAATGGAAGTTTTTAATTTACATGTGTAGATTAGAAGCATTTTTAGGTTACTTTGATGTTGTAGACCTTAATTGATGATCTCAATCCTTTGTAGAGAACATGAGTTATAAGAACTTTGGATTGAATTGCATTGTTGACTGAGATAAGCCTAGTCAATTAAACCTCAAATTAATATCAGGTTTCAATAGTGTCGCTAGCGGCAGCCAAGATCGTATGTTTATTTGATTTTCCAATTTCAAGAAAACAAATGCAAGTGAAATATAATAACATGAAATATAAATATAGTTTAATAAATTAAAATTATTTTTTATTTTAACTTAAAAAAACGTGTAATCATAATTAATTATGAAAAATATTGATAATATGATAAATATCATAGTTTCATATAGTGGCCATTTTCTCCCACAATGGCACTACCATTCTTAACCACAAATATTACCATAGATAATGCAATACCTAATAAGACAACATTATAGTTAATATAAATATTCAGCTCTCAGTCATGGTGAGAAAATGATACATGGCGATGGGAGGAAAACTTCATAATAACTGAGGTATTTTATTATACAAATATTAGAAATACTTAACGCAGATGACACACATTACACTTTGACGTGATTCACACTTTATTTGTAAAACCAAAAGCAATACATATTATAGTTCTAATACGTAGGTGAGGTTTGTCTTAGTTATGAGCTTCAGTCTTTGGCTGTGCATCCACAGCTTCACCAGCATAAGAACAGCATCTTCTACAGCCTCCTCCATACCTTCCACCACAGCATCCATAGCGGCAATATCCTCCTCGATATCCGCCTCCATAACCGCCACGGCCCGGGTAACCACCTCCATATCCACCGCGGCCTGGATAGCCACCGC